AAAAAAAAAAAAAAAGAAAAAAGGGTATACAGTCAGAAAGTGGGGGGCTTTGTTTTTTGTTTGTTTGTTTTTGTTTTTGTTTTTTGCTTTTTTTGTATGGCCAGCATTATACTATATACCATGAAAGACAGTATATCTCTGTAGTTTTTTGCTTTCACTAAGCTTAAGTTATATTAGGGAAACAAGGTTCAGACACATGAAGTAAAGGATAGAAGAACAGTTCTATCCTTTAGAATAGTTAAATTAGTCAAATGTTAAACTATATAATTGATTGGTATATGATAGAATATTGTTGTAGATGGAAATTTCATATCATACATGGTAGAGGCAGTAATGGGAAAAAGCATATCTTGTTCTTTATTTTGGTCTTAATTGCCTGAGAAGGTAAAAGTTTTAAGGAATTTTGGGGGATGGTAACTGTGCAGTTGTTAAATTCATAGTAAGTGATTATTAGGTGCATCCAAGTATATATTGTAGGCCAGGTGCTATGGCTCACGCCTGTAATCCCAGCACTTTGGGAGGCCAAACTGGGTGGATCACCTGAGGTCAGGAGTTCAAGACCACCCTGGCCAGCATGGTGAAACCCCGTCCCTACTAAAAATACAAAATTAGCTGGGCATGTTTGGTGCTCATCTGTAGTTCCCAGCTACTCAGGGGGCTGAGGCAGGAGAATTGCTTGAACCTGGGAGGTGGAGGTTTCAGTGAGCTGAGATCGCTCCATTGCACTCCAGCCTGAGTGACAAGAGCAAAACTGTCTCAAAATAAACCAAACACAAATGCTCATTGTGTACTCTCGGAAAGCCGATTTGCCAATTTCAAAATATTTTGGATAGTTATCATTAGACTAGAGATTTTCTGAATGAGAATATGTAGATACTAGAAAGAGAAAGCATGTAATACATGAAATTCTGACTATCAATAAACTATACCAATGAGAAAGAAGGAAAGAGCCATTTAAAGAAATCCAGCTGAGTGTGGTGGCTCATGCCTGTAATCCTAGCACTTTGGGAGAGTTAGGCAGGCGGATCACAAGGTCAGGAGTTTGAGATTAGCCTGGCCAATATGGTGAAACCTCATCTCTACTAAAAATATAAAAATTAGCCTGGCGAAGTGGTGTGTGCCTGTTATCCCAGCTGCTCAGGAGGCTGAGGCAGAAGAATTGCTTGAAAACCCAGGAGATGGAGATTGCAGTGAACCAAGATCGCACCACTGTACTCCACCCTGGGTGACAGAGCGAGACTCCGTCTCAAAATGACTGACTGACTAACAGAAACCTAAATAGCCAAATCGAAAACTTTCAGATGAACCCAGCTTTTAAAATAATGTCTTGATTTTTTTCATTTGGGAAAAAGGGCCGTTTTTGGAAATAGCTGCTCAGTAAGCTTGACATTGAATCGTAGTATATAAAGGATAGCAGAGCAACCTCTAACTAAGAATGAGTACATATTAGAAGAATAGGAACAATAATTATTTAATGTCATCTGCATTGAGTTATTTTTCCATCTTAAGTCTAAAAATCCATAGTGTACTAAAAATCGCAAAATTTTGTTTCAAAATGCTAGAAACAAAACAAAAAAAGACTTCCTTTTAAAAAAGTTGTATATAGAATAAGGAGTGGTAGACCCAGTGTTTGGGATAGATGGAATAGTATTCATAGATGACAGAAAGAAAATGGAGCTTCTCAATTATTACTTTGCTTTCCCTTTCTCTTCCATCAGGAAGAATGATTTTTAAAACTGAAAATGCAAGAACAAGTCTGAATAAGAAGGAATTGATGACTAAGATGGGTTAGGAAATAATGAGAGAAAACCTAACCACCATAAATGATTTTGTCTTGAGTGTTTAGACATTATTTCCATGGTACTAAAAGAACTTGCAAATTTAGTGTCAGAGTCTTTGTAGGTCATCTGTTAGAAATTATGCAGAATAGGTTATTAGAAAATTGTGAGAAAGGCAAATGTCTTGATGTTTTTTATTTAGTAAAAAGGGCAGGGTCTAGTAACAACTGCCTGGTAAGCTTGGCATTGATTGCTAGCAAACTCCAGTACAGTTTATTGAAAAATGGTTTCAGAAAATTTAATGATAATGAGTATGAATTTTAAAAGCTCACAATGAATATGCCATTTTTTGTTGTTGTTGTGTTTGGGGTTTTTTTTTTTTTTTTTTTTTTTTTTT